CGTAATTTTGACGATCAATCTCTGATCCAGTACACCCAGAAGTAGTGATTTGATATGGAAACTTAGAGTACTTTGTGATCCTAACATATTTAGCTTGCACCAGTCACCATCTTGTTCTTCGGACGGCGGGGATCAAACTCACGACCTTTTTGGACATAGGTCCGACGCCCTACCAACCGGGCTATACATCCCCGGCAACTCGATTCGTTTTCAACTTGAAATAAACCTAATTCAATGCCGAATTCGCCAAAATAAACTCGGCAAAGTAAAATTCTATGCCAAAATAAACCAGCAATGCCAAATTCGCCATTCTTAACACCAAATTCGGATAGTTATTCCATCCCAGTTTTTGCGGAGTAGAAATGTTAAATACAAAACCATTTTCTTATAAACGTTCACCATTTTTCAGCAACCAAAATAACACTGAACTTAAGTAGAGTGCGACATAATAATAATAAAAATAAAAAATAATTGAGGAAGAACCAAAATGACTTTTGATTTAATGATTGGATTTTTACGCACTAAGACTCAATCTTAATGGTTCGAGAGGCTAATATTAAATATGCTAATTATTTGGTGCAAGCGATGTTTTAAGTTACGAAATCGGACACAAACTCTTTCAGGATAAACATACCTTTTTATCCATTTCATACCTTTATACCATTTAACGAAGGAAGCAATTTACCAATTAAATTAAAATTCACAAAAGCAAACATAAAAAAATAAACAATTATTACCAAAAAAATTACAATTAATGCCAAAAAACAATTAATTACCATAAAAAACAAGCTAACAATAAATGACTAGCAAAAAAAAAATTAACAGACCTGCTTAAAATAACATCTTACAACCTAATATAAGTTATTTGTCATCTAATCTGAAACAACAGAAGTCACACTAATGTTACTTTAAGTTGAATTACGCGTATAACTGAGACATTGCGAAATGTATTCTTTTCCATAGTAAATAAAGAGTTTTGAGTTGATAGTATTTAGTGTTATTATTTTCCCAATAATCATGAAGTCAAAATTGTTTGATGGCACGTCTATGACCAAATTAAACAATTTTTTAGAAAAAATGGCACGTTGGTGCATAAAGGTTCGCCACCCCTGACCTACGCTGTAAATAGCGCACACGTGCAACAATGAAGAAGAAGTGGCTAAACTACAGAATTTACGTAATTGTTGATAACAACAGTTTGCTAGATATTTGATAATTGAAAACTAGTAACTGTACTAGCTCAGTTTTTCATGTTTGATCACAAAACTGTAATTTTTTACTACATGTTATTTTTACGCAATGTACTCATGTTAATTATTTACTAAGCAGATTGTAATTACTTATTGGAATATTAAGAGAATTAAATAAAACCTGATTTCAAGTTTATATGACAATTTGTTTCAAGGTTATGAGCATTTTTATGCAGCTGTTTATGTTTCACTATTTCAAAAATTAACTAATTTCGGAACTCTTTAATACTTTAGAAAAAAGTCAGTGTTGTTTCTTATGCAATTTTATTACTGAATTTACTAAAAATCAATTGTAAATAAAAACATTTATTGTTTGAAAGTTATATGCATTTTTTTAGTTCCTTCTATGGGATGTTTTTATATTTAAACAAATGTTTGTAGCAACTAACAATTAGTTTTATACTGCTCGGTATTATAAGTTATGTAGGAGATATATTTCCCTCAACTTCTTTTAAAAATATTATTTCAAATCGTTCTCTCTTAGACATTTTCTTCACATAAAATTGCTCAGAACTTCAAAACAAATGCTCCTAATCAGGATCAGCTAGTGATTAGTTTTATTCGATTGAGTAAAAAATACATAAAAATTGGTACATAACTTTAAAATTTCAATTTATTAAACGATTGTTGATTCTTAATTACATTGATTAAAAAAATATTAAAGTAACTATTTTTTTTAAAGAAACTCTGATGTGATAGACAATATCGAAAGTCCTTTTCAGAATCAGAGTCAAAAATTTATAAAAAAGCTATAATTTCATGAAATCTGACAAAAAAGTTTAAAAATATAGACTAGGTTTATTGAGTTTAAAGATTTGTAATAAAAAAGGAAAGAAAATCTAATCATCAAACTTACAAGTACCATAATGATACCAGATGTATAGGAAAATAAAAAGTGTTAAAATTTAGTTACGAGGATTGAATAGAAATGGCAGAAGAGGAATGCCATTTATCTGAAAAAGAAAATTATTTTCATCCAGTTAAATTATTTTCATGAAAAAAAAAAAACAATTTCGAATATTTTAAAACCTGCCACTATTATTGTAAATATGACTTTCTTACTAATTCATATTTTTTTTCCTTTAGATTCCAATACTTCCAAATTAACGGGTAGACGGAAACGATATTTAAAATAATTTGTTAGTTTGCAAAAAAAAAGAAATTTTTGTTTTAAATAAAAGTAATTTGAATGTCAGCTGACTAATTATTTAAATTTGCAGTTTTGTAGCTTTAAAAAATCAAGCTTTTTAGACAACTATCTTCTAAAAATATGAGTTATTGCAAATAATTTGTTTTAACTGTAGAATTCGGATAAGTGTTATTTCAAGATGATTTAACTCAATTTATTAAAATTACGGAAGAGTTGTGTATTTGAAACTTTCTTTTATAGTTTAACAAAAGAAGCAATTACTGCCGAAGGTTTAATCTTAAGAGCTTCAGGTTAATAAATGAAGATCTCTACTAGTGAAAAAGTGTCATGATATACATTATTCTTCATATAATATATATTTTATCTTTATATAATAGTGAAATTAAAAATTAATAAACTAGTTGGACAGTATAACACCTCACGTTTGGGAATTATTACCTAAAAAACAGCTTTAGGTTGAGCTACATAAGCCTAAAGTGTAAAATGTTGTATCTTGGGTTGATAAATTAATACTTCTGAAAATGCAAACTTATATTTTTGAGGTTACGAAATAATAACCTAAGGTAGAACATGAAACACCTCATGTTAATAAAAATAACCTTTCCAAGTGTCAAAAATACACTTGATTATAATAACCAGAGGTTAATTTATAATAACCGGAAGTGTAAAGTGGCACACCTTAGGTAGATAAATAAATACCTCAACAACTACTCAAATCTATACCTCAGGTTGAAAAATACTAACCTAAAGTAGAACTTCGAACACCTCACGTTCATTAAATTCAAGCTATTCAACTGCCGAAAAATACACTTGAGGTTGATTTATAATAACCTGAAGTGTAAAACGGTTAACCATAGGTTGATGAACAAATACCTCTACAAGCATTAAAATCTATACTTGAGGTTAAAAAATATTTACCTGTGGTAGGTCGAACATAACATACCTCATAGTAAAATATTACCTTACCAACTGTTAAAAAATACACCTATGGTAGATTTATAATAACTTGAAGTGCAAAACGGCACATCATAGGTTGATAAATAAATATCCCAACAAACATAAATTTAGATACCTGAGGTTGAAAAGTAATTACCTGAGGTAGAACATAATACACCTCTCATTAGTAAAAAATTACCTTTCCAAGTGCCAAAAAATAAACCTGAGGTAGATTTATAATAACCTGTAGTGTTAAATGAAACACCTTAGGTTGTAGAATAAATTCTTCCACAAGTGTAAAAAAAAATATACTTCAGGTTTTGATAAGTAATAACCTAAGGTTAAAAATGAAACACAAAGTAGTAAATGCCTACCTCTCCACGGATGTAAAACTAAACACCTAAGGTTGATACATATATTCCTCTGGGGGTATATTTAAGGTATATTTGAGTTATTTATTTGCACCCTTTTCAACCTAACGACGTATTTAAATAACAACCTCCTTTATACCTTTGAAAAGTACCTTATTTATATCTCGATTTTTTCGTAAGGGTAGTGTTTCACTAAACCAACGTTCTTTAACAATTCTTAGTGTAAAGTAACCTCCACCATTTTTGTTATTCAATAACATTAAAACTTAAAATTACGTTATCTCTAACGTAATTTTAAATCGCAAAATAAGCACACCGGACAAAAAATTAGCCACCCCTAGAAAAATTGTGAAAAAACACCACTTAATAACGTGTAACACCGCCTCTGGATTTGATAACCTCCTGGATTCAGTTAGGAAGTGAGACCACGAGGTTTTGCAGCGTCGAATCCAGTTTTAGCCATTCGCTGAGGCTAAAACTGGCTACGATCGCGTTTACCCGTTTCAGCGTTTTACCCGTTGGTTCAACATGTCCCACAAATTTTCAATGGGGTTCAAGTTAGGTGAGTGTTATTGGTCTCAACGTGGCGAATTAACCGTTTTATTAACCCCAGAACTACACTTTTAATACACTACACTACACTTAACACCAGAACTACACCCTGATCTCAGCCTTATCGTTGCCTATTATGTTCGAAACCTTTTCATCCATAAAATATAAAACAGAAATTGGATTATGGATGTGTCTTCCATTCTCTTTTATTGATCCAACTAATTTTAAAATTCTCCTGCAACTTTCTTCAAAATTTACGAAAATCAAAAAAAGAAACATTACAAAATTTGGTAGAAAAAAAAACGAAAATCGAAATGTAAAATGTCTAAAAATGTAAAAAAGAAGGAAAATCGGTAAAATACACGAATGAAGAATTCGCTTGTGAGACAACTTATAGAGAATATTTTTGACGTTCTTTAATATTTCCATTAAAAGTTTCGATAACGAGAAATTCGCTGTAGAGAAACTTCATTGTAAGTATCTGTGTTTTCCGAAATGTTTACTTCCAAGCGAACATTATTTTTTTCTCGGACAATAAAAGATTCAGTGAACCATAACGTATCTCCAACAATAATGATTGCAATAAATATTATTATAAAATCACTTGGAAAGGTCAGGTTGTAATAATATTGAGTAAGTAACGCCGTGTGTTTATTTTCCAGAATTGTTTATTTTCACATTTTGAACAAATTGAACACTTTGTCAAGCGACATACTTTCTCATACATATGATATATATAATGCGCATTTTATTCAGATTTATCAGACAAAAGAATTATTTGTTTCTCTTTGGACTAAGTTATCGCGATGAAGGTAAGTAACTGATTTTAAATTGTGTGGTTGGTATCATAAAACAAAAATAACAATTTCTTCTGAATTTTGCCTGTTTTCCCAGATTTCATTGCAAATTCTGACGAATTTGATTCCTAATATTAGAGTAAAATTCTGGAAAAAATCCATAATCTCATAATTTTTACTTTACTTATGACACAAAGCATGGATAATAGCTGATTCCATGATTCCCCCAATTCCATACTTTTAGAAAAATTTGCTAACATTGGCGAAAAATTTAAGAAAAAAAAACTCCTATTTCATGATTTATACTCTGTTAATAGCATAAAACATAGGAAATAAGTCATTCTGAATTTTTCCAGCTTTTCGAGGTCTACTCTCAAATTTTTCTCATTTCACTCATTTTTCTAAAACTCGGGAAGATTCCTGAAAAGATTCGTGGTTTTCTTTTACATGTAGTTACACTCAGTGGGTTAACTGTACTCAGAGCCGGCGTTAGACGTTATCGCGTCTTTAGCAATACTAAAAACGTCGCTCTTAGCTAAATTTTGGAAAAGAAATCTTTAAAAAAGAAAAAAAAATCCAATATGAATAATCGGAACTTTAGTGAAAATTTGATATTTGACATTGGTCCACTATGAATATTTGGAACTTGAACAAAAAAAGGAGTTTTAGCAACCCTCATGAGAACGAAAAATGTAGAAATTCAAACATTGCTTTCTGGACAAGTTGATGCATTGTTTCCAATTTTTCACGCTGAATCAAATTGAATCTTAACCAAGACATTAAGACTAATAGTTTTTTAGGCTTTATGTAAAAGCAATAAAATTTTTGACTCATACCTGTACACGCGTTTGGCATTGCTAGTTAAACAAATAAGGCATTTTTCGGAATTTTTTTAATGTTCAATCTAATTTGACAAAAAAGTAAACAATAACGACCCTAATTGCCTATGTATTTGCTTCGCATTGCTGTAATGGTTTAGAAGTTACGAGGGCTTAATATTAAAAATAAAATAGATAAAAAAATTTTGATAAATAATAAAAAAAATAAATCTTTCGATTTATACCATTTTATGTATAAACACCTCAAAATACCATAAATTGTTTCGACTTAAACTTGGTTCTATTTGATGCAGCATAAAAAAATACATGGGAAATAATATGTTATTTGATGGAAATGTTAATCCAGAAAATAGAAATTTATTCAAAATTGTAATGTTTTTTCCTTTAAAAAACACATTCATAATTTGACCATAAAGAAATTTAAATTTTATTTTATTTTTCTAAGTTTCTGTGTGTGTCAGAAATTAATTAAAGTGGCTATCTACAATGGGATGCCTGCAATTGGCGCATTGTGGGTATGTCGATCCTGATTGGTTGTTAAAACGTGGCATTTATTTACGGTTAGGGAATGTTCTTTCCATTCTATTTCGAGTAATCTAAGGTCTTTTAAGCATATATGGCAAAGGTACTTTTAAAAAGTAACGAGTAAAAGTACAAGTATTTTTAAAAAAGGTAACGAGTAAATAGTAAAAAGTTCTTATTTTAAAAAGTAACGTGTAAAAAGTACAAGTACTGAACATAAAAAGTAACGATTTAAAAGTACATTTCTAGGAAACCGAAAATTCAAAGTAATCTAAAATTTTATTGAATAATATTCTTATGTTCTTTAATGTTTTTGCAAAATTGTTGTCATTTATTTAATTATTTTTAATTTTGAAAGTTATGGATATTAATTTATTTTTAAATTCGGAAGAATATTATAATATAATTTTATAATATAATCGTATAATATAATTTTAAAATCAAATATAATTTTAATATCAAACTTTTTATGGATTTGCACGAAAAAGAAATTTTATCTATTGATTTTAATTTTTAGTTTATTATTTTTATTTATTTAAATTACCATTGATTTAAAATTGTTTTACTCTATAGAAACGCGTTTTAAAAGCACAAACATAAACAAAGCAAACACGGGGTTTCAGATAGCTTTGTGATCTTTGAGCTAGTAAAAAATAATTGAATGTGCAGTATAAGTTGAAACAGAACAGTCTACAGTTTTATTTGTAACAATGGCTAATGCTGAAGTCATGCGAGAAAATCATTTTCCGAACATTTCTGCCTAACGGAATAATTAAAATTTGTAAACGAATTTTAGTATCAGCGGCTAAATTAATACCTTCGAGTTTTCAAGAGTTAAAATAGTAATTATAATAGTTTTCAATAGCACAAATAGTTCTGAAGTTCTTAGAGATTTGACTGGGCGTTGTTTGACAAGGTCGGGCATAAACATAATTTTAGTAAAAAATGTACTAGGTAAAAATGTATTTAGTAAAAAATGTATTAAGACAAAAATGTATTATTAGTGAGTTCAAAAAGAAAATTGAAAAACGTAATAACAAAATCCAACATTTTTTATTTAAAATGTATTAAATAAATGCATAAAACTCGAAAATGAATGAAAATAACTTGTTAATTAATATTTTTATTCATTTTGCAAAATAATTGCATTTCGAAAGTGGTGTCCACGAGTCTGCTGCGAGAATTTCTCAGAACGTGCTTATCCACGCTGAATAAGCACTCCACGGGAGATCAAGGTATTTAAACACGAAGTTAGCTGTTAATGTGCACATATTGCACATTAATTTTATAAATTAAAAAAACATGATAATTTTTTTTCATTAATTTTTTTTTTCGAAAGCTTACCGAGTTTTGGGAAAAAGTAACGATTTCATTCGACATTTCCGTTACAAATACTTGTACTTTTTCCCTAAAAAAGTAACGAAAGTACAAGTAAAAGTACTAAATTTGGAAAGTAACGAAGTACAAGTAAAAGTGCGTACTTTTTACTTGTACCGGCGGTGCAAGTAACGAAAGTAAAAGTACTGCCATATATGCTTTTAAGTGGCACATTTGAAATTCTTTCACAAAGATTCTTTTTGAATTCTTTCACTCTATATTTACGTTGAGACTTAACAACCCAAAGACAAGCCATGTGGAACATAAACAAACTAATTATGCAATCTAATTTGCTAGGTATGAAAAAAAATATATATGTATGTATCACGGTTACAATAAAATACATCAGCAAATCTAATTTAAGTAAAAGAAGTAGACGAGAAAAAATTGTATTTTAACTCATTCGATATGGGACACTGATCTGTATTTAATTAACTTATCACTAATTAACATCTTACTCACATAGAGAAACTTAGATCAACTTTAATACGAAATTTTGCTGATAAATATTAGATGGCGCTGACGTCATAGGTATGGGTATGGGAGATCTTCTTCTTAAGTTTCAAGTACCTAATTGTACTAAATTTTTGACTCTTTCTTTCAGACTTTGATTGCTGCCATTTTAGTTTGCTTTGTTGTGTTGCAAATTGAATTAGGAAAAACAGAGGAATATGGAAAAGTAAGTTCTCTTATATCGTTAAATTACATTTTTTTTCTCAATTATAAACTTTTTTTATTTCTCTAGTACTAGTTTCTCAATTATTTGGGTACTTATCGGTTATAGGGACAGCTTGTTGCCACCTCTTTTTCCGAGTTGTCGCCAATAATTTGTTCATATAACTCATGAGTGCCAAATTTTACTGCATGTTCTGTTAGAAAATATTGATACTTAGCAATATATAATTACTAGGGAGGCTCTGTTCGCTGACGTTCACCAACCCCGATGCAATAAATGCTGTTCCTTGGCATAAAACAGCTAAAATTATTCAACTAAAAATATATGTACTAAAAAGAACAATTGTCCCTCCACTTTTCACGTCCAAATATTTCCCTTATTATCATATTAAGATCCATTATTAGACATAAATCATTTTTCTAAGTCATTATTTTTTTAAATAACATTTAAAATTAAAAGTATATTATTATAACAAATTAGGTGAGTTCACAACTGTCATTTAATATTTTTGCTTACCAAACAGACGGGTGTATTTGAAATACAATTTTTGCATTTATCACTTTGTGCATGAAGCTAGAAGTTAAGTTCTAAATCATTTAACGAATCTCTTTAACAGTGATTCATGATGTAATTTGCATCAAAAAAAATAATTGTAAAATGGTAAATAAAAGATCAGACATCTATTTAATTAACTTTATCTCAAAATGTAAAGTAGAATTACCTTATTCTAATAATAATAATAAAAACAATCTACCTAAACTCTTAATTTAGAAATGAAACAAAATCAAAAAAGTAATAATAACAGCACAGGAAATTTTAACTTTTAAATTAGAGAAATATTTATAGGAAAATAGTAACTTTATGACTTATATAAATTTTATGCTGGTGACAACCGAACTAATATGAAAATGAATGTGGGAAATCTGGATCCTACCATGTGATTTTCCGCCCATAAAAATGTATTGACAACAATAGAAAACTGCTATGCCATTATTAGATTTTTATATATAGAAAGAAAAATTGATAATAAGTTGTTTTACATGCATGAGTTATTAAATGATCCTGATAATGCTGTTGCTCATTTTATAAAACTATTAAACTGCTTTATTTTTCTAAACTAACTGTTTATTTCTTATTGTCTTTTATAACTATTTTTATTTATGCTATTTTGCCTGGTGATCAGGATTATTTGAACTGTGAATGATATACTTTTAATCAGTCACTTTAATATGCTTTACCATGCTAATTAGAATTTATTTAAAATTAGGAATTGGTTTAAAGTAAGATTAGAATTAACAAAAGTTGATTAGAAATTACTGAAAACTTTTCAATCTACCTGACGTATTGATAAATGTCGGTGGCTGTTTGAAAAAAACTATTCTATTCCTCTATGCTAGTGGTGAAGTTCCCACTTTTTTCACCATTGAAAGCCTAAATGATCAAACTTCTTTCAGCGGAACCCCGACTTATAAATTAAGTTTATTAGCAGTTGTGCATGTACAAACAAAAGAAAAACTACTAATTATTAAAAATCTACTAAATGATAATTGTGAACTGTGGTGGCTCAAGGGATAGAGTGTTAGCCTACCGATGAGGTAAACCGGGTTCGAATCCCAAAGATCACTGGTCGATACGAATTCCGACCACAGTGATGACGTAAAATATCCTCAGTGGTAGACGGATCATGGGTTAGAGTCCCCTTTAGGGGAAAAGTTTTCGTAGTTTTCTTCTCCATGTAACACAAATACGGGTTAGTTCCATCAAAAGGTCCTCCACAAAGGCTAATTTCCTCCAATACTTGATCCAGGTGTTCCCTTGTCTTCTGGATTGATTTCAAAATGACAAGGCAAATGACAAGATGAACATTTGTAGTCGTAAACCCAAAAAATTGTGTTGGCTGTTCCACAATGGTTATAAAAGGCAATTGTAAATTTATGAACCAATAACGGACCATCTTAATAATCTTAAACTAAGTTTGATGTCCAACAGTTGAATTCGCAATTCTGAAGCTGAATTTAGTCTAATTATGAATTCTTTGGTCTGTAAACATAAACTGAAAGTAAATGAAATAAACCGAATAATGGTTTTTGTATAAATGAACACTAGCACTAACTTATATAAACGTTTAAATTGGTTATTAGTTAAACATTTCTTTACTTACAAATTTTACGCAATTTTTTATAAAAGCATTTCCTTTCAATAATGTATTCAATTATATATATATATAGATATTTTTAAATAATAAACATTTAAGCATTTCTTTTCCAATGGCAATTTACTTAAAATAATTTCGTAAAACATCCGAAATGTTAAGTAAATAATGCTTTATTGATTGCATCTAAACGTAATTTTACGTTTTAAAAGTGTTAAAAAATTTAAAAAAAAGTCCTTACTCTTAGGACCCTTTAAACTTTTCCACGGAATCCTAGGGTTCCGTGGAAAACTATTTGAGAACAGCTGCTTTATGCCATGGAGTACAAAAAAAGAGAAAAAAAATTATTATTGCAAGATTTATCTCGTACTAAAATAGTAATTAAGTTACTTTTTATTGCTTATTCTATTATTGAATAAAACGGTTTTTTTTTCTGCTGCCACTCTTGTACAATTTCGTCAATTTCATTACTGAATAAAATTCAATATTCAATGAAATTGTTTTACAGCCCATCCCATACAGTTTCGGATATTCCATTGATGACGTGCATGGTAAACAGCATAGGATGGAGAAGGGTGACGGATTGGGAAGAGTTGAAGGAAGTTATGGATTTGTAGATGAGAGGGGTATCCACAGGATTGTCCATTACGTAGCTGACCATCTCGGTTTCAGGGCCAAGATCGTCACTAATGAGCCCGGAACAGCCAATCAGAACCCCGCTGCCGTTCTCATGGAGTCTTCACACTAAGCCATTCACCACATGTAAGAACAAATATAATTTTCGATTGCTTGGTGAGCTCCGTCTCTTCCGTTATTTATAACTAGTGGGCTGCGCCCCCTGCTCGCTAACACTCGCCAACCCTCGAAAATTGCTACGCAATCTTATATGGTTTGCTTCGTAAACCAAGATCGCTTCGCTCGCTACTAACTTAGGTACATTGCAAATGCACAAAATTCTAAGAATTCAAAACAATCATTCAAATCCATATAACAACTTTTTTTTTTTAAAAAAATTGCATCTTTTTAGTAAATACTAAGTCATTAAAATAAATTTGAATTCAAATAAATGACATGTAATTCGTTAAACCTACTAGAAATGTGCTATAGTATAATTCGTGATGTATATCAAAAATCATCAAATAAATTCGTAATATGTAAATTCGTGAAAAAAAGCGCTTTCGACAAAATACTAAAATAGAGATCTATCGACAAAGACTACTCACTTCTGCCTAGCTTAATAGTATGAGATTGCCGCAACTGATGCTCTCTGGTTATTTCAGTTTTCGTTTTTAAAAGCGCTATATGTTGAGCCACCTCAGCTAGATTTGGCATGTGACATTTTTAGCGACAATCATTGGTCGATTTTCTAGCGTTGCCATTCGGGGAGTTGTAATGAGGCTTTTTTTGTCACCGTGTAAGAGAAATAGTAACGTAAACAAAATAAAGCAAACGCTGCCACCGGCGGAAAAGAAATACAGCCAAAATTTGGGAGCCACGTTAGAGAATTATATATATTAAATGTTTTTTTTTAATTTTTTTTATTAAAAGAGTTTAAGGATTATTAAAGAATATTTAAGGATTATTAAAGAACATTTAAGTATTACTAAAGAATACTGGAGAACGGGACTATAATAGGTGTTTATTATATTAGATTGGTTATTAGATGTTTATTACATTAGTGATATATACTCCACCGCCTTTAATATCATGTAAGTGTACACAATAGGGATCAAAAACTAATATTTAAGAGAAGCGGAAAAACAAAGAAAACTATTGAAGTCTTGAAATCTCTAGTATTAACAGTGAGGAAGGCGAGATGAAATGCATCAAAACATGTGCAACTTGGAAATGCTTCTACTTGTTACTTTCCATCTTCTCTTTTTTCCCCTTCGGCAATCTAAAAGGTTTTGAGTCGTAAGTTGCATCTTTTTGAATAATAATTAATCGACCACTATTGTTTTCATTTCTTTTTTTTTTTTGCTTCGTTTTTTCAAGTATATATAAAGAATGAATGAATGTTCTATATAGAAAGAATGTATAACTCTCAATATATATTTTCTAAAAATTATTAAATTAATAAATGAAAATAATCCTTCTAATCGCAGTGGCACCTTCGAACAAAGCTTATCTCTCTTCTTTTTTTTAATTTTTTCATTTTATTTTTTGGTTAGCGGCAATCAATGCTCAACACCGTAGTCTTGTAATTTTGAATCACAACCCAGAAGACAACGATACCTTTTTATGTAACATTGGGTCGAACAAACCTTCATCGAGGTACTTTCTGATTTGAATTATCCTGCATTTGAGTTACATTCTATAACTCGTGATTTCCCTACCACTGAGGATAGTTTACGTCAGCACTGCGGTCAGTGCGAGCCCGGTGCAGAATTCGCATCGACCAACCATCGGTGAGGTTCGAACCTGGGTCACCTATATAGGAGGTCTTTCTTATGGACTAAAAAAACTACAAAATCATTATTTTCGATTAAGGAACTTTGCCCCCTGTTCGGTTCACTCGCCAATTCCCACCTTCAAAAAGCCAATTAACAGGTTGTTACATATAAATAAGAAAAAGTATTGAATTGAAAGATTTTAAAATGCTTTATTGCATAAATTTAGTTGTGGTTTCACGGAATTTGTTGCCACAACTTATTATATAAAATATAAATCTAATAATAATCATAAGATGGTAGCTATTGCAACTATGCCTGCAATTTTTTTATTATTCCAATTTCATTTCCGGTTACTTAAACTCGTTGAATGTTTTTGGGCCAAAGAGATTCTTTAGTAATCGTGAGAAAAAGTTAGTTCCTAAATATGTTTTACAATTTTGTATTCACTATTTTAATTGCATACGTTGACTTTACACAACTTTACATTAATCTTACAATAAAAGTAACTATAGCTCATTTATTATATTTGTTAATTGTAAAACGGTTAAAAAGATTAGACACCGATTGAAAAAAAGTTTATCATAAAATGTTGAGCAATAAAGTAATATTGCAGAGTTAAGTTATTATAAAGAAACACCATTTTCAGTTTTAAACTTATAATTTCGAATAATAACCAAAAATAAACATGTATTAATATCACAGAATATTAAGAATAGTAGTAATAGTAATCAGACGATCCGTTTTGGAGCTTCATAAATGCGCTTGTAGCTCTCATGGAGAATAAATACTAAGAAAGGATGATAAATATTTTACAGGTAAACGGTTATAGCTTTTATCAATTTTTCGCGGATGACAACCAAAGGAATCAGAATCTTCGAGCGATAAGACTGGATCATGATAACACGAGATTTTTTTTACCCTATAAGAATGTGCCGACAACAATTGAAAAACGATACCATTACATTTTAATGTCTTACTGAGATATAGATATTTCTTTCACGTATGTAAAGATATCGAGTTCACGAAGAAGAAAAAAAAGAGAGATAGTTTCCGTTCCACAATTCAACTACCTCAAACGATCAATAAGTTGAATTAATACATCGCTTATAAAATAAATCTGGTGTGCATTTCTATCTTTTCTTCGTCTTCGTTCCGCTTTAACACATTTGCAATGCGGAAGTTTCGAATTTGTTCTTTCAAGCAAGAAATTGCAGTTTTTGTTCACGATTTGACTAATTAAATGGTCTTAAATACACTCTTTATGTAAATCAATAAAATAGTTTAAGCACATTAAGTCGAATTTAAAACTATCGAAGTCACTTTAAGTATAATTAAGAGGAAATCATAGGTGGGTGAAAATGCAAATAAATAATTTAAATTCCCTTTCACGCATGCGCATGAAGATAATCTGTGTATTCTGCGTGCTTATAATGTGATAAAATGAGACCGTTGCTCTAGGAATATTACGATTCTGTCATTACAAGAAATATTCTTTTTAGAGAATAACTTAATATTTTTATAGCTGCTTTGATATTTTATTACTGTTCATTACTGTTGCGTTAAGGGTTTGATACTCTTTGAGCAGTGACTTCTAAGCTAGTTATGAAAATGGTGCAAAATGTGTTAAAAAAAAGCCACAATTTTGTGAAAATGAAAAGCGTTTGTGTTAATAATTGCAAATTTAAGGCTACGATGCACTGGTGTTGATTTATTGAATTCAACAGTTTTTTCTAGGTGGAAAACGATTTTTTTTAAAGTTAAATTACTTTTTTTAAAATATGTAAGCTTTTTAATCCTTTCAATTTAATTTTCTCAAATTGGTCGTGGTATAAACAAATATCATTATTCGGTAGCTAATCAAGTTCAATTCCCATGCGTGACGTCGCTTGCAAGTATCCAATTATAATTGCGATATAAATATTATAAATGATACTTTTTTCATTAATGAAACACTTCATTTTTGTCAATATTTTTTATTTATCCAAGATCTGATATAATATTACTTATGGATACATTGTATATGATAATACTATTTTAGGAGATTACAAGTTTAAAGATATAAACAGGAGTAACCTTTCAATGTTTTTAAAATATGAATTTTATGCGCCCCGATAAGTTTTTCATCTAATCAATAGAAGATACTCATTGTATCGTTCTTGAACTCTTAGGAAACCTAATATTTTAAAAACCTGGATATTTACCCCAGTTTTTAAAAAAATTAACAAAAAGATCATACTTACTTTTATTATACAGATCTGAAAACTGATTCATAATAAAGCGTACAATATAAGATTATGTATATCACATCTTTTTATCAGAGAGTATTATTGGATAAAAAGGGGTTGTGTACTGTTGTTTCCTTTTCACTCAGTTCCTTTCTCTAAAATGTATCTGAATTTCGTAGATACGGCATTCAATTTCATTCCTTCAAAGCGTGGGTGACCTGTTGGCACAAACCTTTGACGACTTATGAAGAGGTCGGAAAATCTACATCAGATTTGTAGTTTATTACAACCACTTTGTTATAAATGTAATTAACTACAACTACTTTTTTTTAAATGTAGTGACTACAAAGTACTTTGGAATTTAGTAACTACTTCACTACTTTAAGAAGACGAACTTTGCTGGAGAATTTAATATACACCTTCGTTCGAAATGGTTTTGAATAAAACAAAATTGGCTTACACTAAATATAAGGGAAGAATTAAGAAAATATTTATTCATGTTTACAAGAGCCAGTTTGTTATTTCAAAACAGTTTTTTTGGAATTTGTTCATTTAACCTTCAACTTTTTATGCATTTTTCGACAGCGAATATTTAATTTAAGAAATCAAATACTAGCCATTTTTAATTTGTTTAAAGCTCTTTTATTTCCTCTAAGAAATCAAGTACATTGAAAAAACGTCCCCTTCCTTTAAAATAACATAAATGTTTCACGAGTGTACAGTAGCATTTGATAGTCTAACCTAGGTGATTCGTTATCTATATTTCGTAATGACTAGTTTAAATATTAGTTATACGTGATTTTAAAAACGTCATTTCTGTTAACGCTTAGCCGCAGCAGTCATTTTCATTGCATCTAGGGCAGGATTAAGCGTCGGCGGGGCCCTAGGCCATTCAAATTTTTGGGACCCTGAGATTCCTTTTTTTGGCTCGTATATTTTTTTTATTCAAATATAAAAGTATTATATATCTTTTTATTCAAGAAAGCATACTTAAAATAAAAATAAATAATAATAAATTGAATTTTACTTTATTTTGTTAAATTAGAACTAAAAAATAATCATAACATTTTGAAAAAATTTGAAATTTATTAACACTTTAGAAAATCAACGCTACTATAAAATTGGTATTCAAAAATCTTTTTTTCTGCTCTTGCGATCAATAAACTCATCTATAATGTTATCAAAATTAATTTCACGCAGAATATCTTAATTTTTTAAAATTCATTTTATAATCATAACATATATATTTGAAATAGAATTTTTTTTAAATCACTGTTTTTCTTAATTTTTTTAAGTTTATTTTCAAAAAATCCTTATTAAGAGGGCCCCAGGCCATGGTCTAATCTGTCCTAATTGGCAATAAGGTACTGATTTTATCCATTAAAGGACCCGCGAAAATGTGTACCCATCAAATTCGATCAAATAATTTCGTTAGAACCTCGTTTCTTTTTAAAACTAGCGTTAAAAATAGTTGCCAGGAGTAGCTACAAACTATTTTTTCTTCTTCATCTTTTTTTTATTGCACTACTTTTTTATGAATAGTTCAAGAGCGTTTAATCTGATTGTCAGAAACGGGAAATTACACGATTAAAAATTGACTCAACAATGAAAGTGTGTTGTCCTTCCTTGTAACGTTCCATTTTAATTAACCCTGAAATATCAGTTTCAGTATGTCACTCTTTTTTTTTCCGTTGGCTACATTTTATAACAAAATTACTCCAAAACTCAAATCATGCGTGGAATTTAGAATAGATTTTATGATTCAAACACAATGATCAGCAATATCTTCATGAGAACAGTGATGGGGGATAGAGAGCTTTCACCTTCCAACGAGGTGAACCGGCAATGACTGGTCTATAGAAATTTCGCATCCGGTTTGCACCGACCACAGTGCTGACATAAAAATATCCTCAATGGCAGAAGAATCATGGGTTAGAGTCCCCTTGCCGTCTGGCTAACCGCTGCAGGTTTTCGTTGTTTTCCTCGCCATGTAACGCAAAAGCGGGTGACTTCAATCAAAAAGTCCTCTACGAAGTCAAATTTCACCCAATACATTATCCAAGAGTTCCCTTGTCTTCTGGATTGGATTCAGAATTACAAGGCTACGGTGTTGAATATTAGTAGTCGTAAACCCAAAGAATTGGGTCGACTGTTCAACGACGGTTATAAAATAAAATGTCATCATGCTCTGTCGATATCAATTCTGCTCCCGGAACCACCGACTACAGTCAGTGCCTGATTTATCAAAGGCCTTGAGAGTCCCGGGTCCTTCTATTTTTGCTCCCGCCCTCAATGTAAGAAATATCATGTTTTTCTTTGAGCGGGAAAAAATTTAAATAAAAATACGTTATACTATTAATACATAATAATTAACTCATGTTTTAAATAATTTAAAATCATTTTGCTAATAAAAAAAACTATGTTCATACGACTGGTGGAGCACGTATCCCGCAAATTTTGAACTTATAGCTCTCGTATTTCTTAATCGGGTCCTGAACATAGTACTGACGTAAAATACCACAGTGGCAAACGAATTATGGGTTAGGATCCCTTTTCCGCCTGACAAATCTTGGTATGTTTCCCTGGTTTTCCTCTTTATGTAACGCAAATACATGTCAGGAACATCAAAAAGTCCTCGGTGAAGGCAACTTTGATACATTTTACTTGTCTTCTTTCTGGGTTGGGTTCAAATTTACAAGACATATGAAGCTGAGCATTCATAGTTGTAAACCCAAAAATGGGTCGGCTGTGCAACAGCGGTTATAAAAAAATTCCGTGCACCCATTTTATTTATTTCATTTATAGGAAATAAGAAGAAACGAAATGCCAATGATGATGAAAAGAACGTTTTGCTAGTCTTCACTTTGCTTATTTTTCAAGAAGAGCTATTGTTTTACAAGTGGAAAGCGTATTTCTTTGTTTATGGATTGTACTCATGTTACTAGTACATGCACTGACAAATAAAATATATATTTCTCTTGATACATTTCAATTGTAATTATTAATCATACTTTAGCACACATATTTGTACTGTCACAGAAATTTTTACGTATCTAATGTGCGTCGCTTTTTAACTATTTCCAAAAAAGAGATGTATATTCCAATTAAGAGATATATTTCTTACAGTAAAACATTAAATGTAAAATATATATATATATATATCTATAAAATGTTAAGTATCCTCCTCAAAGTAACTGGTGGATAATTAACATTTACAAAAGTATTACAATTTTTAAAGTCAGGTCACGACGGTAAGGGGGAGTATATGAGAGGAGAAATTTAATTGTTGCTATCTTGACAAATGAGGTTCTAGTTCCGTGGTACTATCTAGTCCCGATATATTTTAAATGCCGGATTAAATGAGACCCATTACAAGGCAACAAGACAATACAATAACGAGACAATAGTTTAAAATGTATAGTGATTTTCTGTGCAAAAAGTACAATGTTTGTATTGTACATGTTAATGCCTCTGAATTTGCTATCTAGAAAAATTATGCGCCGTTTCTTTTTTATCGATTGAAATCAATTACTAGATAATGAGACTAATAGTTCAAAAGTTGTAAGTGTATTTACGAATAAAAAATTTTTTTTTTTGTTTTTACTTTTACTTATTTACATTTTTCTTCCATACTATGTATCTTGTCAACCCAAATTTAATCTCATTCAATTGAGCTTAAAAATACATAGTAAACAATATTTCATTTGTCTTGATAGATCTATCATATGCCTAAATAGATACAAGAGAAACATTGTACTTTTTCTAATTAAAGTTTTGTAATCTAGTTTGCCACAGGGTTAAACATTTTTCTGTATGTTACGTTATAACCTTATTTTTACTGTACTATAGTCAAATAGCAAAGTTTTCACAAGAATCCGTATATTCGGATTCCTATTTAAGAGAGTAAAAATGAGCGGGATTAAAATTTTGTGTGGATTATTTATCGTAATTTTTACTTGGAGCTCAGTTATACAACATACATAATTAGAAAGCAACTGAATAGCACATAGAACAGATTTCAAACGAATCTAGGAATTGATGGATAAATCAGCGAATGAACGAAAGCGAATTGATGAATCCAGCGAATAAAGAAATTAATAAATCTGCTATTTAATGAAAAGATGAGCAGTTAAGTAAGCAAATCAATGAATCAGTGTTTTAAAGAATCTGTCAGTGGATTGAAGAAAAAATGAATGAATTAACAGGTCACCGAATAAATGAAATATGGAATCAATGTATAAAATTACCGAGTTAGGGAATTAATAGATCAAGGAATCAATACATAATAAATAGGCGGGTCAAAGAATTATTGATTTGTTGATGTATTCATCCACCGAATGACCATTTGGTTTCCTGATAGGTTCATTTATCGACTCACTGATACATGGATTCACTCATTTTCTGATTCAATTATTTGGTAATTCATTAATTTATTCATTCACTGGTTTGTTCTCCCGCCTTCCTCAGTAATGATTTGACAGATTTCAATAGTGGTTGTTTCGTGATAGTGGATATTTGTTTTCTCCGAGGTTATACACAAATATTATAATATAATAAATGTCATTTTCTGTACTTCATTTTTGACAAAAGGTCCGAGGAATATAAACGCTGTTTACATTGCTATGATCATAAATATTAAATATATCACGGATATATTTCGTGGTTATTACATTTATACATAGAGATTTCGATTATATATTTCGTGGGACAATTTTATTTATTTATTTTACATTGTAGGGTAAACAATACAGTAGTGTGATAAAATTTTGAAGGACAAATTTTTCCTTTTGCCTTGAAGGGTTGACAATTTTGTGGTATGATAAAATTTCGGGGGACAATTTCATTTATTTTATTTATTCACTACAATGCAATCAACACTACAGATCTATAATATGGATAGATTAATAAATGAGCGTATCAATCAATGAGCAAATTGATTAATCATCGAATAAAAAGTATAATACATTTGAGTATGAATGAAAGGGTGAATTGACAAAATAAGCTATCAATGAATCAGTGAGTTAAAGAATCGAAAAATAACAAAACGAATTAGCTGGTCAACGAATTAATGAAATGGCGTATAACACCTTTGACTGAGCTTATCAATGACTCAGCGAAACTATTAAAGCGTTAGGCGACAATTTTATTACCTCTAAAAATATTTCAACGCGTAATCCTTTATTGTTTCCTTCTTTGTTTTTCCCCTCTGATTTCAAGCACGGCGTTCCTAATCTTTTTCAAAAAAAATTATTGTTTGGCTGATTTGCTCAGACACACAATTCATTCTTTTCCTGTTCACACATGGAATGGAGGGATGAAAATGTCACTGAATTCATAAATAATTGATCCGGCTATTTGTTGTTCTAAGCAAAGTTATTTTGCTTTATAATCACCTAGTTTTCTTTCCTCGCATTTTGAAATAGTATTGTTGATGGAATTAAAATAGCTGTTTCAAATGAGTGCTGAGAGAGATAATGAAATATATCGACGTTTTACTAAACATCGAGTTATTATTTAAACATCAAGTGACTAATTTGTGTTATTTTTTCATTAGTCAATATTTTCATTACCCTAATGAAATTTATAACCAATCACGATATTATCATATTTATTAATCATCGTTTTCACGATATTAAATATTTATCATTCCGATAATAATCCCGATATCATAGTCATTTTCGATTATGATATTTTCGTATTTTAAAATTATTGCTTTCGTTAAAACTCATCGCATTATAGTATGCTACATCATTGAAATAATAATCTAACATTTTCGATAATTATAGTCAGTGTTTAGATAATTATTGTAAGAGGTGGTAGCAACAATGAATAACAAGAATTTCTTTCAAAATGTCTTTAACGTTTTAAAATATCAATAACGATCGTTGTCGATAACGATAGCTACATTATCGTTTTTGATAATATTCGTATTTTGATGTTTCTCGTTTGAGATAGCTACGATGTATCTTGAAAATACTTCTTAAAATTTTGAAGTTATTTTTAAAAAAATTGTTATTTCTCGTTTTAGATAGTGGTAGCTACATTATATCGTTGTCGATAATTATGTACTTTGCATTATATTACATGTTTTGAAAGTAAGAGATGGTAGTCGCGATGTATCGCACGAATACTTCTTAAAATTGTCGTTATTTAGATATAAAAAAATATCGATCTTTCACGATCCCATAGATTGACCAACTCTATTTTAAGTACAAAAAAAGATAACAATTTCTTACCATAGTTTTAATAAAATTTAATTAATATATACGGAGTCTAACTAGCATTAGCAAAACAATGGGATACCTGCAAGTGAAGCAGTGGCATTTGTTTAGATTAGCAACTGTTCTTTCCATTCTATTTCGAGTAAGACAAGACTATCGAGTACCAATTCTCTTTAGCAATACAGCTTATATTCTTTCACAAAGATTTCAATTCTACCACTATACATTTACTCAGAGACTTAACATAAAGAAAGTCGCGAAGCCATATAAAACATAAAGAAACTTATTAGGCATTGAAGTAGATAGGTGCGCAAAACACGAATACATCACGGTTACTATAAAATGCCTAAACAAATAAGTGAAGTAAAAGAAGTAGACGAGAAGGAATTATATTTCAACAAATTTGATGTACTATACTGCTCTGTATTTAATTAAGCATTAATTAACATTTTAAATTATGTAGCTTAGCTCAACTTATGTACTTAGCTCAACTTTAATACTCCATATTGCTGATAAAGATCAGCTGGTGATGACGTCATAGGTCACATGCGTAGGTATTGGTTGTTTTCTTCTTCTTGAATGGCATGTACCCAATCAGCGAACCAGAATTTTTAATACAGCAGTTATTCTACGTACAGAAAAATATGTTAACACATACAAGCATACATGCATAATACATACAAACTGAATAAGCATATAGTATGCAATCGTAACTACTTGTAATCGTATATTTTAATTACATTTACTCGAAATTACTTGCAATCACGATTGTATGTAATCATAATTACATACAATCATATGTTTTGATTACTTAATCATAATCACTCGTAATCGTATCTTATTGTGATTACAAGTAATCACAATATAATCTTATTTGTGTATTTTCGTATGTAATTCTATGCTTAAAAGTTTTCATTTAATAAACCAAACAATAGTAAACTAAACAATTCATCTACATGTACAATTTATACATTGTTTTAAAAGTATTAATTACCTACAACCCCTATTACAATGTAATCAAGCCCACTTGAAATCATAATTACGTCTAATTGTGTGGTAATCATATATATCACAATTGCTTGAATTTAAAATTACCTGTAATTGTTAGATTATGATAACTTGTAGTTATGATTTCTTGTAATCTTACTTTATGATTACAAGTAATCACGACGACTTGCAATCCCAGAGCTTGATTATTTGTATTTACGATTATTTGTGATTCTTATTATCTATAATCATTTTTTTTTTGATTATAAATAATCATAACTGCTTGTAATGAGAAATAATAATTATTTGTTACTGTGATTACTTGTAGTCATAATCATTGCAAGTAGTTGATTTATCTATAATTAATTACATTTGTAATCGTTTACTGTAATTGACGCGTAACTTGCAATGAAAATGACATAATGCTTGCATTTTTCACTGGTTATACAAAATTTTATTCAGAAAAATTAGTCATGACTAATGAATTTATTCATCAATCATTATTCAAAAATTTGCATTAACTTGCATAATGAATAATGACTAAATTTGTATATGAATAATCATATAGAATAAATTTATTCTGAATAAATTTAGTCATGAATGAAATTTCCGTCAATGATGCCCATCAC